AGACAGGTGCATGGAAGGTCATGTCTATACGACATGCGTCATGAACATTATAAAAACAGGTGCATAAGGCAACGTGCCTGGGTGGAGATAGCTGAAGCTTCGTGGCCGGATTGGGAAACCTTCCCAAAGCAAGTAAAAGAATCAAAAGGTACATTAGCAAATGTAGAATATTTTCTTGCAGAAGGCATGCACTGTTATGCGTCATGCGTGCATTGATTGCATAGACTTGTGTTCATCATTTCCGTGAAACATGCGTGCATGTCTGCATAATGACTGGCCAGTCGCTAAATACCTAAAAAATGAAAGATTAAAGCAAGATTTTAATTCGTTCATGTTTACATTTTGTTTCCACAGTTGATATTCTAAAAAAAAAATGGAGGAGCATCAAGGACGCGTTTACACGCCAATGCGGGTGTAGTTGAAGAACTTATCCTCATGTCCACGTAGGGTCTGAAACATAGCCCAAAATTGCCCTCTCTCCTCACGGTTTTCTATTATCGGATGTATCCAGAATCTTCGCCTACTATCCCTCCTTCTCCACAACGCTATCAGACGCAGTGCTGCAACGACTGCTGCAGTCCTTAGTCGTTTGGTCAGCTCCATAATGCAAAAAAACGTTCAAAACTGCTCTCTGCAAAAAATCCTCCACACACCACAAGGTCTTTTGCATACAGGAAAGGGAAATGCTGCGTCTCAGGAAGTCTTTTTCATTGGACGCTTGCGGAAAAACAGGAATTCTTCTTCATTGGATACCTCTGTTGTCGCTTCAAAACGCGCGTGCGACGCGCGTTTCTAATGTACAAAAACGCACTAAAAACGCACATGAAAATGCGCCAAACTCCGGGAAGAAAACGCGCGTGTGACGCGCTTATGCAATACGCACAGGTGTGAACAAGGCCTTAATCCGTTGGGGTTAGGCGTGTCTAGGGAATATTTCTAATCAGGAAACTTCCCTTTTTAAATTGCAACCCCTCCAGTTTTGTTTTGTTTTCTTTTTAATTTTATTGATGCCACAAAATGTTAAACATGAGAGATCCTTCTGATGATGGATTGAAAAATTAGAAAAATGAAAAGAGAGACTATCCATGGAATTCATAAAGAATGAAAGTGTTGAGACATGCATCATGCTGCTGCATGACATACAGTATGTCAGTATTTGCAACAATTTCATGTACCTGGTATGTCCCACATATTGGAGTCTGCAAGGGCACTCCAATAAATATACAACATGTGTTGTGTTTCATGATATAAACTGTTTAATTGAAAATGTATCTTTGATGACTGTGGAAGGAAAATTCATGTTATCCACATTCTTTGCTTAAATGTAAGCGCTCTACATCTTCCGCAGCAGTAGAAACCGGTTTCATTAAAAAATGTAAATTCTCTATTCTTCTGAGGATCAGCTACACTCGGGGTCAATTTACCCTTTAAAGAGGGTACTTTTCTATTAATATAATACATGGTTTAGATGGAGGTACAGGACCTAATGTTTTGTCTTTCAGTAAAATGGGCCAATGTATCTATTCTATAGCCCTGTATTGGAAATTGTAATCTGTAACAAATGTAAAATTCAATTTTGACTGCTCTTGTGTCTCTGTATGGTTATACTAAACTAATATCTGTCTATTTATTTTGAAACCCTCAAATTTTCTTTCCCCAAGATATCACTTTTATATCCCTTTTCAAGAAGATTATATTTAAGTATACCCCCTTGATTGGAAAAGTCCTTATTTTGGCAATTTTGCCATGATCTAATAAACTGTCCCCTAGGGACACTATGTATTAGGATTAGGGATGTCCCGATACCGATGCTAGCTTCGGTATCGGGCCCGATACAGGGCATTTTCACAAGTACTTGTACTTGTGAAAATGCCCCGGTACCTAACGCCGATGCTTGCGCATCAGTGTTGATTTCGTATTGCGTGACGCCCGGGACATATAGTTCCGGGCGCCGGGCAAACGAGAGCAGGGGGCGTGGAGCGGTACCTCCAAATGCTATCACACAGGGGTTTGTTAGCCCATGTGTGATAGCAATAAAGTTAAGTGAAAAAAAAATAAGTTAGGAAAAGTAAAAAATTATAAAATAAAGTTAAAAAAATAACAACTGATTAAAAATGTAACTAAATAAAAATAAAAAGCCGATAAAGTAAAAATAATAAAATAAATGAAAATTAAAAATATTTACAAAGTAAATAAAAATTGAAAAAAATTGAAAAAACCAGCACCGCTGCCCCCATCCTGCATGCGAATAAATGCACAGTGTTTTCAACCGCGATCGTGTGCAATCGCACGGGCAGGGCGGTATTACGGTGGGAAACCACACAATCTGCCTGGCATGACTGGGGTGCCATTTGAAAATAATGGCACTGCCAGCGTGATCGGCGGTGGTGTGCAATCCGTGATCGCCCGGTCATCGTGCACGAAACCGAGCAGATGGCTGGGCAGTCACGGAATCGCACACCACCGCTGATTTAGCTGGAAGTGCCATTATTTTCTAATGGCACTCCATTCGCGCCAGGCAGATTGCGCAGTCTCCTGCCGCAATACCGCCTGGGCGGTCTCACACGATCATGGTTGAAAACATGAATAGTTTAAATGTTTTATTGTTCTAAAACAGTCTTTAATTAAAGTTCTTCATAATCATAAACAAATTGGCCTAAAATCATTAGTCTATTGTTTTTTTTAAATGTCACCTGTCCCTTTAAGAAAAAGTATCGGTAATTGGTATCGGCAAGTACATGAGGGGAAGTACTTGTACTTGGTCTTAAAAAAGGGGTATCGGGACATCCCTAATTAGGATGTAGCCATTTCTGTCTGTGGTCTCAACAAAAACTTCCAAATCCAAAACATGCATGGAATGCTTGTAAAAGACAAGTGTAAAACGTATATTTTTGTCCTGTTCTTCCACGTAAACCACATATTATATATAGAAGAGCACCCTTTTTAAAGGATGAATTGGCCCAGAGTGATCCTTTGAAGAACAGGGAAACTACCTTTTTTAATTAAACTGGTTATTATTCCTGCGGGAGATCTTGAAGTATACAAAGAATAAGAGAACAAAGTGAATTTATTTGCACAGCTGAAAAACATAAATTCCCAATTAAACAGTGCATATTGTGCCACAAAAAATTTTTGTATATGTATTGGAGTGCCCTTGTGTGGATGTGTGAATGTTTGCTGAATGTCTAAGTCATTGCTTATCTCTTTCAATTTATTAAAACATTATCAAAAGAATCCATTTATAGAATGGCATTTATAGAATTAATGAAAACTAGAGGGATTAAGTGGACACATTTAACTCCAATGTATTAAATGTAAATGTTCACTTAAATTGCTTTATTAGTTATCGCTGAGATTGATATGTTTAATAAGACTAGGAACCTGTGCTATATTATGTGATGTTCTGTTTTCATTTAATTTTTAATTGATTTGTTTGTTTATTATGTATTTATTTAATATTTATTTATATACATTATATTTAATCATCCGTATGTTGTTTTTAAATTTGCTATGTTCATTTGATTTAATATAGTTTTAAAAGAGTGATTCATTTCATTGGTCTGTTTCTGAGTTTTATAGTTAATGTCTGAGCAAGAAAAATTGTGTTTTCAGTATATTCTACAGAAACCAGTTTGAGATGTTTCTACAATTTTAGTCTTTGCAAATTGTATCGGTTATCTCTGTTT